ATGCTTGATTCCTCACTAAATAACGTGCACCAAAGCCTACAGCAGCCAAACCAACGCCGGCTAGTATCAGTCCACTACTCTGAACAGCGATTTTAGGACAGAACACAAGGGAGAAAAACTAATGCCAACAAACGCCTTAGAGCACAAACTCACCATAACTTTGGCTACACCTCCCTCTGCACACTAGAAAAAGGAAGTCGTCCACGGAAGCACAAACTGAACGCGAAGAGGACCAGTTGAAAGAACTTGCACGATTTCTTCAACAGCGGAAAAATTGCATCACCTGTCCGAGAGTGCAGACTTTCGTAGTTACCGTAAGCCGTAGCCATCCGCGCTGCGATGGAATGTACGGTGTGAGGCGCTTCATATTTATGGCGCGGGTCACATTGCCATTGGGGCGCATGCGCTGTAGTTGCCACCCAAGCGCCTCCCATATCTCGACCAGATAACTCGTCCGGCTCACCGAACGAGCAGATTACCGTGGTTGATCTGTCTACAATGGAGCGCGCCAGTGTAGAGTGGACTGCAAAGCCTCCCAAGTTCACCATTCTCCTCTTGTCCGGCTTCGTTCTTGCGCTGAGTTCGCTTTGCACCCTTCAACTATTGGAATGACTGTAGAGTTTCTTTGGAGTGATTGTGTCACGATCATTTTGGAGCTGTGATACATCGCACTTCACAGCAACCTACAGTGGATGATAATAATTTCTATACGGGGTAAGTATTGTTCAGTTTCTTTTTTGTTCAGAAAACGGTGTGTTCAAGTTTCATTGTGGCTTCATCACCAGTGGTTTTTTTTGGATTTGCTCTTCGAAGCTTTGACATGAGCATTGAAGTTCCTTGATTTTCTGCTGTTTGATGAATGCGGGAGAACCAATCACCGTGTTTGAAATTTTGAAAATAATTAGCCAGCATTTGTTGATTTATGCGCGAAAGAAAGTGAAAATGGTCTTGGCGTGCGATTCTGACCACACAGAAATTGGAAGGATAGGGAGCTCCAAGGTGGATAGTAAAAGTGGAAGCGAAGTTATACGCAATACTTTACCTCGTATAGGAATTGTTATCATGCACTGCAAGTTGCTGTGAAGTGCAATGTATCACAGCTCCAAAATGATCGTGACACAATCACTTCGAAGTAACTCTACAGTCATTCCAATAGTTGAAGTGTGCAGAGCGAACTCAGCGCAAGAATGAAGCCGGAAGAAGAGTCGAGAATGGTGAACTTGGGAGGCTCTGCAGTCCAGTCTACTCTGGCGCGCTCCATTGTAGACAGATCAACCACGATAATCTATTCGTTCGGTGATCCGGACGAGTTATCTGGTCGAGATATGGGAGGCGCTTGGGTGGCAACTACAGCCCATGCGCCCCAATGGCAATGTGACCGCGCCATTTGGGATACACCCATAGTACGAGTTGTCGCATTCAGTCGGACGGATTATTAGTGGTGGCGGCAAATGCTTTATTTCAAAAAGGCCGTGGTGATTTTTCGTGGTTTTGTGGTCAAAAAGTGTTTCGTTATCGTAGACTTAGGGTTTTTGCACCCTAAAGAGACAACAAGTTCTGCATTGGTCGCTGAGAGTTTCTAATTTGGTAGGGAATCAAAGTTCTTTGTATCTTACTTGTTTTCAAACTTAGCCTTTCCTCAAGAAGGCGAGAGGGTTTTGGAAGGATGAAGTTCCCCAAAAAATCGCACGCTAAGCGTCGCTTTGCCATTTTTGTTTTTCTTGTTCATTTCCATGCGTCTTTATTGTTTTCACACATTTCATATAACTCTTCTAGGATTAATCCATTATTTTCCTTTAACTACGCAAAAATAAGAACAGTAAAAGATTTGGGTATCATCCAGTAACGTGTGGCACGGCATTTCATATCGCCTAGAGAAATCCATTTTTTAACAGGAACGGAAGGAAATCTCCGCGGTGGGTCTAAAAGCAAAAGCAATATTGGTCACGCACCCCGGGATTCCTTTCCCTCCAAAATCGTCCGTGTAGGAAACAGCAACTGTCGCACTACATGCCCTCTCCCCCTTTCTGGATGAGATCCAAAGATTTCGTTGAAGAAAGGTTTCTATTCATTTTCCGTTCTCACTTATGCAAGCTGACCTTTCCAGGTTTATGAAGGCGTCGATCGACAAGCGGATCGTTTACAATAATTGTATACACTATTTGGATATCTACATCAACGACTTGATAGTCGTTCAAGAGGAGGTGCTCAGAATTTCGGATTCTTTCTTTGTTTTCTTTCCTATTCTTTTTTTTTCGTTGACACTAAACCTATTCACTTCATTTTAGGTCTTCAATGTGCTCAAGGAGGAATTCAAACCCGAAAATGTTTGTGAGCCGACATCATCCCCAAAGTACTTGACAGTGATGTCAAAATTCTGCTCTAGTTCGGCTAGCAGAGGCGATATGTACAAGAACGTCATAGTTGGTTCATTTTTCAAACTTGGATTGATTTTTTAGAGATTCACCCCTACACTTCGAAATTAGATACTTGTAAGTGGAAGGTGCTGATCCTTCGGGGTGGGTCATGCTTCCGGCTCTTACTTGGAACCGCAGAGGCATTTGAAAGCGTACTCATGCTCTCGGGAGCGTCAAGAGATTTGTCCGCTGCCTGCTCACACAGCAACTCTACTAAAGCACCTTGGGAATTTTTTGCCATAGAGTCCTGCTTTTACGAGAATCCCCCTCCCTCGAAGTGGTCTCCGTAATCGATTTGACTATATGCACACCTTACCCGTCTTTTCTCTGGTTTCGAGCTGTTTGGGAATCGAGTGAAATCTCTCGTCCGTCATTACCGTGCTCACTTCGATGATTCGTCCACACCCGATTGATAGCGGGTTGCCGGCTCCCGTATGTGATCTTTACTCGCCGAGCCTATGCCAACTCATCCCACACTTCTGACCCGATCTCCAGCGGCATCCGCCCGAGTTAAGGAATTCGTGATCAGATATACAGACGATAGCATCGGAGCGCTTTATCAGTTGGTAGATACGGCTGGGTGTCCATGAATGCGCCCCAGCTAAAGTTCTCACTTACACAACATGCTACTCCCCTACGCTGACTGCGATTCACCCTCGCGAGTTCCAACTAACACTTACATTGCCTTTTCGGCAATACCCTCTCTAGTAAGTCTGTGAGTTAAGCCTCATTCCTTTTTTTTTTCTCGCACCGATGTCAGACTTTGCGAATCGCGCGATTCGCTAGCGTCTGCGCACGTCGCGGCCAGTGAATCACTCACTTGGCTGGTACCGCAACGCGACCGCGGACGCTAGCGAATCTCGCGAATCGCTAGCAGCGAATCGCGCGATTCGCAAAATCTAAATCAAGCATCACGCAACACGCCATGCCTACAAGTCGTATCAGGCACTAGTTACGGGCACAGAATCAGAAAAATTGTCTAGAATAGTCGCCAAACTAGCATATTGCACTCGAGTTTGGTCCAACATTAGCCAACTCTCAACGAACCGAATTTGAAGCATTTTGGCTCCCTTATGTTCCTCTTTATTTTCTACTTATTGCGCTAGGAGACATGTTCAGAATGCTATAGCGATGGAACGATAAATGGACCCCTGCAAAATATTACGAAAGAAAAATGTTTAGCTGAGCTACCCACCTTCCGACTTGCTGCTTTTCTTCTGGAACGGCGATGTTAAGTAAACACACTTGCCACAACTACTAGATCACGTTACAACGATGTTTGCCGGTTATCCTTTGTTCTTCATTTTCGGCCTCGTCTTTCGTGCTAACTATGAATGTCGATACCATATCTTATTCCTGTTCCATCATAAAACACTGCCTCCTTGGGCGCACACAATCATCTGACCAAAACAAGTCTGTGCCATCTGAATTGGCTCCTACGAGTCAGTATCTCGGTAGGTTTGATTGGACTTCTTATTACCAGTCGCGTTCTCGTTTAATGAGCGTGGGAGAGGAAGGAAAAACATTCTAAACTCTTGCCGATAAGATTTCTTAGGCATTATTTGTGACAAGAAGCAGTTATGAAAGTTCAGCTCTGGCTTACTGTTAGCTACCGATCACGTCACCCAGCTTTCAGTTTCTATGCTTTCCGAAAAATTAGAGGGATAAAAGGACTTTAGAGTTCAGCCAAACGACAGTATTCATTAACTGTTTGTTTTACGAAGGAGCGTTGAGTTGTTCCGTGATTTTGCAGGTGAGTGGGAGATGGTGGAGATGGCGTTGGCGTTCGAGAAGATGAAACCACCAAAGAGCACTGGTGATGATGACTTTATCACTGCTCAACTTTTGTTTACTACAGAGATTGCAAAAAATTTCATTGATTTCAACAGAGATCACAAATCAAGAGTATGTTTTGCTGAACTATTCTCTTCCCCTTAATTGTAACCAAATTTGTTACTTTTCCCATCTACTACAAGACAAATACATAGGGAGTTTCAGCCTTCTTCCGCGAAAAGCATACTAGAGATGACTAATCAGCTCAATTGTGATACTCGTACGACATTTCACACTTTCGAGTCTCAGGCATTTGCTAACTGGATATGTTCTCACTTACCGAAGGTTGCAAGTTTCCGAGTCGAAAATCTCGAGGTAAGCGGTTCAGCTACTATGGGCCCTTAAGTGCAATCTCAAAGGTTCTTAGTTTCTCGACTCGTACAACTGCCTTCACCGTGCCATGTCAAAGTCTGAGAGTGTAATGAAGAATAGACTGCCTGGAATTCAAAAGGAATTCGCGCCTCTTGAATTCAGGAATGCCAGCTCCGACACACTCGATTTTGGTAAGTTCTTAATTTTTAGTGGTGCCATGTTTCGGCCATTATCTTAGAACTTATCATAGGCTTCATGCCCGCTAGTATTAAAATAATGGTTGGCTGATTGATGAATGAATGCCGATCATGGTGAGCAGGTAGAAACAGCGAGGGGGTCAGATCTGTGATCTTGGGACGGGATAGGGGTGAAGCATGGATTTTGTGAATTGGAGTGGTACCAGATTTCTGACATTAGGTAACGACACCATTAGCTGTTGTAGGTGGAGGTGTACATATGAACTTGGGCAGAAGCCACGTCTATCCGCGACTGCTCCTTTTTGACTTTGTCTTTTACCGTACCTTTCCGTATCACTTGACCTTTTAGCTATCCCTGAGGACAGCTGTTGCTAGGGCAATAAAAGGGTTTTGTAGCTTTGTTTCATCCTCATCCCTCCTTTTCAGAGTGTCTCTTGAAATTCCTTATCCAAGCCAACCGGCTCACCACGTAACACGTGTGAAAGCTATGGTGAATAAATAAAAAAACACGCTAGGTGTCCGGTAGCGTAACTGTGATGGTTTGTTGGTAAGACGACGTTTATGCAACAATCCAACAGAAAACGGAGTGGTAGCGGAGGGTTTCGTGAGGAAGAATCAGGCCTGGCTCTGAGGAGTCTGCCACGGAAGTTCAAGCCGCCGGTAGCAGCTAGCGGGAATCAAACTACACAATTTACCACTTTTTCCATATCTAGTGTTAAAACACATTCTCAATAATTAACTGGAGGGAAGAGTTTTTCTTTTTTCATAACTAGTATCTAATGATGATAGAGTATGCCTATCAGAGTCAGACGTGCGCCTCTCTGGCGTCCTTGAGGCTTGATAGCGCTCTAGAAAACGAGTCCAGTATACTTGTCTTATAACTTTTATGAATTAGTTCGGTAGATCAGAGGAACTTAAATACCTTCTTATCTCTTTGCGCGGAAATCCGGCTCTCCATATTCTCATTTTGGGGCACCGACTTACCTTCGCACTCCGATCATTCGAATATTTGATGTAAAATTGCAGACAGCTTTGGGGGGCTTACGGTGAACACGTGCCTTGGATATATTTACAGCACATAAATCATTAAATTCATGTTTGTTAGCCGATGCTATTTGTTTTGTTTGTTAGGCCTTTCGGAGGAGAGTGCAAAGAAATAATTTTAGTGAAGGCTTGTGCATCCTTTGCTGAAAGTTGCGATCTAAGGAGAGATTATATTATTGAATTGTTGAATGTGGGTATGATTCGAGATGCAGCGGCTAACTCTCAGCTTGGTCTATGGTGTGCGCTGAAGTGTGGCGTGCTTTTTAGGTTTGATAATTTCCTTCTTCTTCTTATCGATTTTACAATATAATTACGAAAATAATTTTTCTATGGGAGGTTCCTTGATTGAAAGAGCGCTGCTTTTAGGATACAGCAGTTTGTAAACATCAATACTCTGATTCGTTCGTGTGTGGTTCAGCCAGATTTCAAAAATGACCTCCGAAATTGTTTGGATATGATGAGAATGATTTACTCGGTGAGTTTTTTTTTGTTGCAGTTCTCTTGCATTCTTGCTTCTATTTTGAAGATTAATTTTTTGCTCTTGATGCAGAGTGAATCCTCGCTGGCTAAGGATTTCTTTGGCTGCCCCAAGAAGAAGTTATCCGAAGTGTGCTTTGCTGATGATCTAACAACTGGGAAACCATCGTCGCTGTTGGTTTTAATGTGGAATTTTTCATGTATTTCTGATTGGAATACACTTGTTTAGACCTCGCACATCAACTCCGAGTCGATCTCCAGCTCGTGTGGGGCAAAAAACACTAGCTGCGTCCCTCATGGAGTCGTTTGAAGAGCTTCGTTTAGAGTGAGTGTACATGAAGCTCAAGTTTTTTGAAGTCTGCTTTCACTGTACTATATCTAAATTTCGTTATGCACTGTAACTGGAAGAAAGTAGGGGACAAAAATGGTTACGGTTTATAATACCTAATGCCGAAAAAAAAACTAGAAAGGAACTGTTACGTAGCTGAAGGCAAAAGCGCCAACTGTTCCTCCTGGTCTCTTTCTCTAATTTCCTACCTCTATGTGTCAGTCTGTCTATCCATCACAAAATCAAGTATCACCTGTTGGGAAGGGTGTGCACTGGTCTACGATGTGCACATAGGTTAGGCAGAGCCCTGCCGTGGCGAATGCGACATTCACTGAAAAGGGGGTTTCGAAGGGAGACCTTTCCAATTCTCTTCCAGAGCAGCCTATGAACTAGTTGATGAAAGCAGGCAAATCCATCGACGGTGCGCTCTGCGAATGGGCGGTGCTTTCCAAAAGGAATGCAAAACTCAAAAGAAAGCAGCCAAAGTTGATGGAGAAAAGTAAGAGCAAGCAGGAGTCTATGGGGTGTGAAGCCTCGAGGTTGGAGAAGCCAACCCACAGGTGGGTGGAGCATGTGCTTAGAAGGGTCAGCCTTGATAAGAATGTCTATCAATACTTGCAATTCGGCTCCGAGACAGCTCAGGAACCGGTAAAAATATGGATTGAAGCTGGCGAAGCGTGTTGCTGAATAGAGAGTGGAACGAGCGTCGGGCTGGTCGGAGCAAAAATCAGAAAATTAATGGTAAGGCTCCGAGGCACTTGAAACTAGGAAAAAGTTGTTCTAGACTGAGGGAAATGATTAGATTAGGTGCTTATTCACTGAAGTGGGCGTAATCAAAACTTGGAATTTCATTTTCCGCTTTCAGTCGTGGAAAGAGTGTGTTTGGCTGCGCTATTCTGTGGAGCAATGCTGGTTTATTCCAATCTGCACTCATGCTTTATTTATCTTTTCTAGC